AGAGTGAATGTCAGTAAAAATCAAACATATGAGACATTGCGCGGCCACGACTGAAAAATCGATTTTGCTCAAATTTTGCCCAGATATACCTTATTATATCGGAAAATGCACCATATATTTTTTTAGGTCAAATGCTTTTTTATCTTTGAGAAAATGCCGTTTTAACACGACCACCCTAAATCGCCATTTTGTCTGGGAAAATATGCGCTGATTTTACCGACAAATTTCACGACGACATCCGTTTCTAATCGATCTAAAACCCCAAAAATCTTGTTTTTGGTTATTCAAAGGACCGGGTACGTGAGTTACAGGAAGTCGGAGTTACTTTTAGGAATAGAAATATTCGTAGTTTTGGAGCACACTATCTTACATCATTTACGATACCCTCTTCACAAAACCGATTTTCACCATGCGATAAAGCTCCAAATCGATCATGCTTCTACTTGTTGGCTCCTTAATAAACAAGCTTTCAGCTGACGTAAATACTTCTTTTGGCAAATGAATACGCGATAAACGACAGCGCGTTGAAATCGTCCGTTTTTGACGTTTTGCAAGTCAAACGCTGTTAATTTACATACCGTCGAAGTAAACAATTTAATCAAGTATTCTCAGTATTTTACCTTTTGAGAAGAAGATATATCCTTGAGTGGAGACTTTTTGCCTTGCTAAGTTTAAAATTGGTCCAAAAATCCCGATATATTTGTGAAATATCATCATATACAAGTATTTTGAGATATAACATTGTTGTCAGTTGCATGATAACTTCAGATCACTGTTCAATATTGTCTACTTTTAATAGCGCTAACATACAAATCGATGAGCTGTTTAGGGTTTATATAATTTATATATAAATTTATTTATATATAAATTTCCCAAAATTAAAACTTCAATTTTTGTTTTGTTCCAGTTTGATCCATATAATGTACCATTATTTTACATATCGACTATCGAGTATAAATGTTTACGAATACATAAGTTAATTATTAAGCAGCTGTTAATAGCGTGCGTGTGAAATGAACATTTATTCATACAAGGATTTGTTATCATGGGCGTACCGGGCGGGGGCGGAGGGGGCGGCAGCCCCCCCCCCAGTTTGTTGGGCAAACAAAGCCAATCGGGCAATATTCGCTTTACAGTCGGGCAATATTGGCTTATTATAAAAATAAATGGGACAAATTCTGTCAATCGTGTGGGAAATTCTGTGAATTTTGTGGGAAATATGCTATCTGATAGGAATTTTTCGTAATCATTCCTCCGCCACCGCCCCCCCCCCTCCCCGTCGACAACAATTTTGGAAAGTTTCTCCGGAAAATTTTTTTTGACAACGCGGGCACAATCCGAAAAAGTCGGGCAAATTTCTTTCCGCCCCCCTAATTTTTTCCTTCCCGTACGCCCATGTTTGTTATTTTATTATATATTCTACCACCTCAAACTCAAATTATACCAAATAGTTTAAAATAATTTTTTAATGTGTGTTCACTTTCATGCACAGTTAAAATAATCAGAAAAATTACAGTTTATTTTGATATACTTTGTCTATTAATCTTAGAGCAAATGCCTCGGGCCTCCCGCTTATGGGGGCCTCGCGCTTCACTGTGCCACGCCCGTTTTTACGAGAACACGGCCATTCTCTATTGGGACACACCCATTTTAGGTGTCTCGCGAATTTATGGACCACGCGTATTTAGGGCCCCTAGGCTTGGCAGTTGGCCCCAGCACGGCCCTGGGAAAATATGCAATACTCGTGTGCATATAATCTCCAGTCGCGTTGAGCTGTTATGTTATGATCCTGTTTATACATGTTGACCCAACAACTGGGCCAGGCAAGCCATTGTCTCGTTTATAATTGATGCCAATAAATTGAAATATTGAAAAACAATTATTTAACAATTTTGCGTGTCTTTAAATTCAAAGGATTTTATAACAAGGCGGGGGGGGGGGCGGCTCGCGCTAAAATCTGCCACGAGCCTCGCGCGACGTTAATCCGGCCCTGGTCACTTGTTGGTAATTCTTGCGGTTTTTAATGCCAATTGCCAAAGATCGAAAGAGAGCACCGATGACTCTCCCCGTCGGAGAATTACTGGCGCAGCCCAGGCAAGCTCAGTGAAATATGGTGGCCCAGGGCCAATTATACCTTTGGGTATACCACAATTATCCTCCCCTCCGTCGACAGACTTTCCATCCCCTTGCAAACTTGTATTTGCCGGCCCTCTTTGAGCTGGGGTCGCGGAGAAAATTGCTCCCTTCCCCCCCCCCCCTTTCTCCCCCTGCATGTGCGGCCCTGGCGCTTTTGGCCCTGGTCTTTTTCAAGTAGTTTTTTTGTCCCGAAAAAGTAAAAGACTAAGAAATGGTGATTAAATTCTTTACTACGGTATGTTATTTAAAAACGAGCCAAGGTTATGGTAGGGATTAGGGTTAAGTTACAAAGTTGGTGTTCGGAATAAGGTTAGCGTAAAGCTTTGTTACGTTTTGTCATTCTGAGGCCAGCACAACATGCATGCGTACGCGTCTACTATCGTCAAGAAACAATCGAGATCAATAGTGTAAACCTTGCAGTTTTAACAGACATTAACCGAATTCATATTAGAGACGGGAAACTCGTATTAGACGGGAAACTTGTCTAATATGAATCCGGGAACAGACGAGTTTCGCGTACGAACTTTCCCGTCTAACTTACCGGTCTAAGCGGATGGGAAAGTTAGACCGAAATCTAATCTAGACGGGAAACTCGTCTTAAATTTGAATTTATCCGTCCCAAAATCATATTCAGACGGGTTTTCACAGACGAGTTTCCCGTGTAAGACGAGTTTATGTCCCTAATATCATTAATATGAATTCGGCTATTCAAATATAAGGGCTAGCTTGTAAACTAAAAATAAAAACTCCTTATATGGATAAACATTATAAGCGTTCATTTCATGTACACGCACGCTAACAGCTGCTTAAATAATTAACTTACGTATTCGTAAACATTAGTCGATATAAAATGGTACATTAATATGGACAAAATGGAACAAAACCTCTGAAAACAGCAGTTGTAGTTCTAATTATTTTGGTAAATTTAGTAACAATTATGATCCCTACATAGCTCATCGATTTGTAGGCTAGCGCTTTTAAAAGTAGACAATACTGAACAGTGATCTGAAGTTATCATGCAACTGACAACAAAATTATATCTCAAAATACCTGTATATGATGATATTTCACAAATATATCGGGATTTTTGGACCAATTTTAAACTTATCAAGGCAAAAAGTCTCCATTCAAGAATATATCTTCTTCTCAAAAGGTAAAATACTTAGAATACTTGATTAAATTGTTTACTTCGACGGTATGTAAATTAACAGCGTTTGACTTGCAAAACGTCAAAAATGGACGATTTCAACGCGCTGTCCTTTATCGCGTATTCATTTGCCAAAAGAAGTATTTACGTCAATTGAAAGCTTGTTTATTAAGGAGCCAACAAGTAGAAGCATGATCGATTTGGAGCTTTATCGCATGGTGAAAATCGGTTTTGTTAAGAGGGTATCGTAAATCAAGTAAGATAGTGTGCTCCAAAACTACGATTATTTATATTCTTAAAAGTAACTCAGATTTCCTGTAACTCACGTACCCGGTCCTTTGAATAACCGAAAACAAGATCTTTAGGGTTTTAGATCGATAAGAAACGGTTGTCGTCGTGAAATTTGTCGATAAAGTCAGCGCATATTTTCCCAGACAAAATGGCGATTTAGGGTGGTCGTATTAAAACGGCATTTTCTCAAAGTTAAAAAAGCATTTGACCTAAAAAAATATATGGTGCATTTTCCGATATAATAAGGTATATCTGGGCAAAATTTGAGCAAAATCGATTTTTCAGTCGTGGCCGCCTTATGTTTGATTTTTGTGGACATCCTCTCTTAAGATTCATATATTTATGCCAAGATTCATATATCATGTATTAAGATTCATATATATGTATTAAGATTCATATATATGTATTAAGATTCATATATGTATTAAGATTCATATATATGTATTAAGATTCATATATGTATGTCAAGATTCATATATGTATGTCAAGATTCATATATATGTCAAGATTCATATATATGTATTAAGATTCATATATGTATGTCAAGATTCATATATATGTCAAGATTCATATATGTATGTCAAGATTCATATATATATGTCAAGATTCATATATTTATGTCAAGATTCATGCATACTTTAATGAAGTACTTCTTGACCGTTTAATTATACCGCTAACCAAATATTTATGTAAAAATTAATAATATAGCGATTAAAGATGGCGCATTTCATAGATAATCTTAGACAGTTCTTTGAAGAGTTTTTAAGATGTATTAGGGAAGCAATTGCGGGGCTGAGTTCAGAATACGAACCAAATCGTGTGGACAGCCTGTTATACAGGCTATCGGAATTTGAAAGCACACTTGGATTAATTTCAAGTCGTGTTGGAGAATATGACACTGATGACAGCGTTGATCAGTTGTTGGAAGACCTGGAATGGCTCTTAGCCACTGTACGTCTTATAAAAACCAGATATCAAGATAGGCATGTTGAATCGAACACCTCTTCCGATATCGAATCGCCACACCACAGTTGTCCTGTTCATTATTTGGGCACGCTTGTCGTCCACAGCTTGTTGTTGACAAAGTTGTTGTTCAGCAACTGCGTGAAGAATCCATGAAATGGGTAGACATTGCAAGAATTCTTGGAATTTCACCCAAGACTTTGATTCGATTTGAAATGCCCATTGGTGCTGCCTTCACATGTCTTGAAGATGGTCAGTAATTTAGACGGACATGTACGAGAAATTTTGCGAATAAATCCTGAAGCAGGTATATTTTAATATCTGTAACACAATCCCAGGGACGCCGGAAAGAGGGGGGGGCACATCGCCACCTTGCCCTTTAGTAAGGGGGGCAGGGGGGGGCGAAAGTGCCCTTAGATAAAAATTCTAACCCAAAAAATATGAGGTACAACGATTAAAAAGTATGAATTACCGGTGAAATGGACGTCATATTGATATATACGTGAAATTTTCTGGAATATTGTGTCAAAAATTAGGTTAAGTTTCAAATTTTTTTTGCCCTTGTTTTGGTGAATTATGGTTCCGGAAAATTTTTTGCCCTAGTTTTGGTGAATTAAGGTTCCGGAAAAATTTTTCATCAACGAAATATTAATTAGTGATTGCCCTTACGTCAACATTGCCCCCCTGTGCCCTACCGGTCAATCCCACCATGAATGACAATTCTGTACGGTTCTATCAATTTATGATCGCCATCAATATGCCAGAGGGAGTTTGGGCAAGGTACAGAATACTTTCGCCTGACAATCTTGAAGCTGTGTCTTCTCACTGCTGAGAGAACGGGATTAACTCGTGGAATAGATTCCCGAACACGATTCTGTTGAATCTTTCATTTCTTTGCTCTGAGCCATCCTTCAACTAGACGAAGTCCTAGGAAAAGCACAAGCGAGTGACCTATATTGACAAGTTCCGTCATATTGTAAATTATCTAACAATCATCTCGGTATTACGTTTTCGTACTTTTAAAGAAAAGCATGCAAATCGGGCGTTATTAGACAGGGATGTTAATTTCATGCTACTTTATATAGGATTATGCAGGGACGCCGGAGCGAGGGTAGGGCACAGGGGGGCAGTTGACGTAAGGACAATCACTAATTAATATTTCGTTTACGAAAAATTTTTCCGGAACCTTAATTCACCAAAACTAGGGCAAAAAAATTTCCGGAACCATAATTCACCGAAACAAGGGCAAAAACATTTTGAAAGTTAACCTAATTTTTGACACAATATTCCAGAAAATTTCACGTATATACTAGAAAATACATGCATGTAGAAACCCTCGCCTTGCTGACAAAACCATTGTATTTTCCGAACATGAAGTATCTAGAGTAGTTGTCATGGTAACACGATAATTTTTTAAGAATATTCTTACAAATGAATCGCCTAAAAATATCACTTTTAATTACAAAATTATCAATTTCCCAACATATACATATAGGTATATTATTATATGTAATACAAACTTCAATTTATGGTGAAATTCAACCACAAACGCTTCGCAAAACGTTTTAAAGTGTTCTTTATAAAACTATTAAACTGCCTTTGATTATAAAATGCCGGCTTTATCGATAAACTTTGAGTTTGCAATAAAATTATTTCAAATTCTCGCATGCAAATAACTTTGCTTTCTTTTTAATTTAAAAAAAATCAATATAATAAAAAAGGGAATCAATATTATAAAAGATACACTGTAATTATATGCTGTCTTGTTTAGTTGTTTCATATACGCAAAGACCGTCGGGTTTTAAAGCAATTAATTTAAAACAAACTTACGTACCTTCGTTAACGTACGTCGGCTCATTTCTTTTAGCCGATTCTTTCGCCCTTTCTTTCTTGATATTTTACAAAATCTTGCAGAAATGCGAGCAAAAATGAAATATATTTGCAAGAAATTTATCAATCGTCAAATCAAGAAATGTTTGCTATTTCGCTGTCGTCATGCAGTCGTTATAATGCAAACTTTAAATTGGACCAATCAGTGTCCGCTATTCATGACAGTCCGTCATATTTTTGAGATCAGTGATGATGACCACCCACCGAAACATCGTTGGTGAGCCACGCCCGCGATGATTGATGAACTTTAGACTTCGCTAATGCTTTCGTTTCCCCGGGTGTAAATAGCCGGGGGGGAATTAGTACCCTCGCACGGCGCTTCGCGCCGTCGGCTCGGGGATCAATATGACGTCCATTTCACCCGTAATTCATACTTTTTAATCGTTGTACCTTTGTACGTTTGTACGTTGTACCCTTACAACGATGCGCCCCCCTTTCAGGCGTCCCTCGGATTGTGTTACACATATCAAAATATACCTGCTTCAGAATTTATTCGCAAAATTTCTCGTACATGTCCGTCTAAATTACTGACCATCTTCAAGACACGTGAAGCCATCAGCACCAATGGGCATTTCAAATCGAATCAAAGTCTTGGGTGAAATTCCAAAAATTCTTGCAATGTCTACCCATTTCATGGATTCTTCACGCAGTTGCTGAACAACAACTTTGTCAACAACAAGCCGTGGACGACAAGCGTGCCCTAAATAATGAACAGGAGAACTGTGGTGTGGCGATTCGATATGGGAAGAGGTGTTCGATTTAACATGCCTATCTTGATATCTGGTTTTTAGAAGAGGCACAGTGGCTAAAAGCCACTCCAGGTCTTCCAACAACTGATCAACGCTGTCATCAGTGTCATATTCTCCAATACGACTTGAAATTAATTTCAAATTCCGATAGCCTGTATAACAGGCTGTCCACACGATTTGGTTCGTATTCTGAACTCAGCCCCGCAATTGCTTCCCTAATACATCTTAAAAACTCTTCAAAGAACTGTCTAAGATTATCTATGAAATGCCCCATCTTTAATCACTATATTATTAATTTTTACATAAATATTTGGTCAGCGGTATAATTGAACGGTCAAGAAGTACTTCATTAAAGCATGCATGAATCTTGACATAAATATATATATATATATATATATATATATATATATATATATATATATATATATATATATATATATATATATATATATATATATATATATATATATATATATATATGAATCTTAACATACAAATATGAATCTTGACATATATATGAATCTTGACATACATATATGAATCTTAATACATATATGTGAATCTTGACATACATATATGAATCTTGACATACATATATAAATCTTAATACATATATATGAATCTTGACATAAATATATGAATCTTGACATAAGTATATGAATCTTGACATATATATATGAATCTTGACATATATATATGAATCTTGACATATATATATCAAATCTTGACATACATATATGGTTTTCGATACATATATATAAATCTTAATACATATATATCAAATTTTGACATAGATATATGGATCTTAATATATATATATATATATGGATGTTGATGTTTTGTCCCTTTTTAACAAGCATAGTCATATTGACTTTACAAACAGGCAGCGCTGAAGCTACAATTTCCGGGGACTTGGTTCTAGTCAAATTGAAATGTAAACAATAATACAAGCCCGCAATGCATGACCCTGACACTAATCCTTTAAATCTTGCTGCAGAGCTGTATAGACATAAACAAAGTATCCTATACATTATTTTCGCAGGCCGTACTTTTAATAATGAACTGCAATTGGAACAGAATAGGACTGACACATATAAAGATTATATGACTTTGTCCATGTCTGCGCGTTCATTCATACATTATTTTAATAACGCACTAATGTATAAAATGAATTGCGTAGAAAATTATATTCTTCGCAGACTAGTTCAAATCACAATCTGTCGAACGAGCTGTGGAAGCTTATAGTCTGGCTGAGAGGTGTCTGCTTTAATACACATTGTCATTGATACAGTAGAACTTTGTATTCTGGGTATACTTTTGCGAAGTTTCATCCATATTTTCAGAATAAAATTACAAGTATATTAATTTATATTTTTATAAACGCGGCTCCGTTCGTGTGGTCCTACACTCGTTATACACGCGTTCGCGCACTTCCAAGCGTGCTTTCGCTGTAACAGACGTTTTAATTGGCTAACACAGACAATAGTGCATACGTCACGGAAATCGAATTCCAGCTCGTTTCCGCAGACGTTATTTCCAAGCGAAGAATGAGCGTCGGAAATGACGTCTGCGTTTGCAGACTATATACTCGGGGCTATACTTTAGGATTTCTCATACTAAATCAATTCTTATAAATGTTTACGTGTAAGAAATGAAAAAAGTTTTAAAATTTGTTATGTGAAATGATTTTCCAGGATTTTGTACATGTATTTTTTTAATATTTTTGCCTTCCTTACTCCTGGCAAACAGCCGTATTTTCAACCTCGTCCCCAGGGTCTTCCTCGTTATGGCGCGCGAGCTGAGGAAGACCATGGAAAGCGCAGTAACGACAACGTTATGTTGCTGACTACAATTAGTGCTGGCGCTTACGATTTTCTTGGTTTAAAATATACATGTTTTGTTTATTTTTATGTACTTATTCTCAAAGTTTAAACAAATTTTACGAAAGGTACTTCAGATATAAGCTGTGAACACACATGTACCCAAAACTATTCAACATACATCATCATATTGTATCAATTTCTCGGAGTATGGCGCTCGTATTTGTAACATTGTTTTGTTCGCTTTGGCAATCCTCAGAGGAGGAATGAGGGTCTTCCCACAATGCATTGCGTCTAATTATTATTCACAATTATAATTTTCAACGAACGTTTGGCAAAAAGTTGTTGAAATACATTGCGATTTTGGCTCCGTTTATCCTGTTTTTTCGAAGGTATGTTTTTATATTTGTATTATTTAAGACCCTAATTAAACTGTTTTTGACTTGTTTGGTACAGGAATTGCTTTTTAGTTATATTAATTACGTATTGTAATTGTGCTTGATTCGGGTCAGTGCACACGCCAATAAAATGACCTTGATATAATGCAGAAGCAAACTCACTTTTTTTGAGGAAAATAAAAACAAAACCCGTCATCGAATTCGGGAAGATTTTTTCTTTCTACTGTTACTTTAAAACATGAGTTTGCTCCACTAAACCGACAAGTAATCGCGGTTTGAAAATG